AGGAGTTTGAGATTGCTGCAAGCTAGACTGACCCCACGGCACTCTAGCCTGAGCAACAGAGGGGAGATTATGTCTAAAAAAAAAAAAAACAAAACCACAATATAGATCCTATGCAAACAGTGATCATTAATGAACCCTTGAAGTGACAACTAAAGAACTCCCAATGTTTCTGATAATTTTCCACAGTCTCCCACTTTGAATTACAAAGCTAAAATAACTTCCTATTATAAAAGGTCTCTTGGTGGGATTTCTTGGGAGTAAGCTCACATATGACAGTTATAAACATGGCAGACAAAACAGAGCTTGTACAAAAAATAGACTACATCAAGTGGCATCAAAGCTAGAGCTGTTGCAAGACAGTGTATGAAGCACACTAACTTTCTGTTAAGAAAAAAGGAAAAGAAAAAAGATACACGTTTGCTTGGATATGCATAGACTAGAACTGGAATGACATATTAAAACACTGGTAACATTTGTTTACTCCAGGGAGGGGAACTAGATGGCAGAAAATGAATCAGACGACTTCTCAGTATTCACTTTTGGTCCTCTTGAATTTCATACCACATGAATGTACCATTATTCTAAGACAAAACAAAGCATTCTTAATTCTAAAAGCTTTAATTTAAAATCATAATACTGGTCAGTTATATATATATATAATACACAAATAGTATAGCATTTTCATACTGATTTAAATAGGGTAGTAACTTTTATTCTTGTTAAGTAAGAGTATTTTAAAAATCCAATTAAATGTAATTTGACTATAATAGGAAGCACTGTTTGATCTCTCCTTTTTTTTTTTTTTTCAGAGACAGGGTCTCATTCTGTTGCTCAGGAGGGAATACAGTGGGGTGATCATAGCTCATTGCAGCCTCAAATTTCTGGGTTCAAGTGATACTCTTGCCTCAGCCTTGTGAGTTGTTGGGATTATACAGGCACACACAACCACACTTGGCTAATTTTCTTTTTAATTTTTTTTTTTTAGAGATAGGGTCTTGCTGTGTTGCCCAGGCTGGTCATGAACTCCCAGCCTCAAGTGATCCTCCCACCTCAGCCTCCCAAAGGGCTGAGATTACACATGTGAGCCAATGTGCTCAGCCCCGATTTCATTTTTTTTTTTAATGTAGCCGTAATAGAATATATGAAAAAAAATAAGATGCTTACTCTCTTGTCTGGACTGCAGTCAATACTTTTTCTGTTTTCTTTTCTTGTTCCAGTGAAGAACTATTAAACATAAATAACAGAATATTTATAATATGAATTATTAATTTACATCTTGTCAATTCTACCTGTAGGCAAGAAGAAAATTATTCTAACTTCTGTGGTTTTTTTTAATAATATACCATAGCACTTCATTAAGGATGGTGCAGCCCAACAATCAATTTTCAGTCAAAAACTTGCCATCAAGTAAAAATAACGTGGTAGGCCCTCAGTAGAGAATGCTCTTACCCCCTGAGTCCTCAGTGAAGGGAGACCACCAGTCCCAAGGTATGAAGCAACCTAGGTATCTTGTCTCTAACTCCTAGATGTCAAACAACTCAAAACCTAGGTTGCTGGCCCTTCCTTCAACCAAGCTAAAGTCCTGGTAAACCTGAAAAAGGACTATACTGAAGAACATGCCACAACTCACAACTACTACCTGGCCCTACTAATTCATCAACCACACAACAAGATTTATTACAAACCTTCCGCCTACCCGACCCTAGACTAATTTTGATTAAAAAAGTTTTATTCTCGAAGAATTTGTTAAACTGTCACTATATTTAATCAAGAGATAAGGCATAAAAACTAGATCATTCTTTTAGATCAGGTTACAGTATATAAGAAATAGAAATTACAATATTAATTAAAGAAAAGTTGCTTGGCTGGTTTTATCTTTGTAATTAATGTAACAAAGGAAATTTTTTATTTATTCATTTATTTCATTTTAAAAGGCAGGATCTCACTCTGTCACCCAGGCCGGATGCAGTGGCACAATCACAGCTCACTGCAACCTCAAACTCCTGGGTTCAAGTGATCCTCCTAGATCAGCTTCCCAGTAGCTGGGACTACAGGTACATGCCACCACACCTGGCTAAATTTTTAAATGTTTTCGTAGAAATAGGGTCTCGTTATATTGCCCAGGTTGGTCTGGAACTCCTGGCTTCAAGTGATCCTCCCACCTAAACTTCCCAAAGTGCTGGGATTACAGGCATCAGCCACCATGCCCAGCCAGGAAATTTATTTTTAATCTCAGAGATAAAAGGCATCATTTACCATCCCCAGTAAGCAGTCTGGGGATGCTTGAAACACCACTAATTTTTGTTAGAAAATTCTATGTATACTTTTGCGATCTTCACAGGAAAAAAAAATTCTATCTAAAAGGACATCATATGTGTTACAAATTTTGTCAACAAACTTTTGGAAAACATGAAGTAGTACTCTAAAAGTGATAGTTAAATCGCCACATACCCAAAGAAAGTAAAACAAATTTTACTTACCTCATTGGATTGTTATCTGGCAGATAATATATGAAGTCTCTCATAGTCATTTTTGAACGATCTGGTGGCCTCTGACTTTCATTTATAGCATATTTGTTTTTCCATTGTTTCTATATACACAAACACACAGATCGACTTTTATTTTATGTAGAACAATTTCAGGTGTACTATATTCAAATATACAATCCTCTGTTACATTCACTGCAAATGCTTTAATATTATTCTTACTCCAATTACCCAATTTTATAAACTGAATATTAAATTGTAGTACATTACCCTTAATAGTTTTTAGTTTTTAAAAATTAAGGTGTCTAGGACTAGATAAAAGCTCAATGTATAAAATCATGCTTACAGATGCCTTCTAACTAAATCCTAAATAGCTTACCGAGAATTACATGTACATAGCTTTTGTTAACCCTGTAGTGAACTGAGATTCTGTATATTCTATAGAATTCTTGAAGCAAATGTTAATTCCCCAAAATAAATCTAATTAAGCAGATTCTATAAAACACAGAACATTTTAGGAGTTTACATTTTTAGAGGCATAGATTTTAGAGAATATGAATTGAAATCCCATAATCTTGAACTTAAGTTTGACACAAAGCAAATAATAGATCTGAGCTTGTTTTCTTCTGTGCAAAACAGTCATATTTACTTCACATAGTTGAAAGAATAACAAACATAAAGCACCAAGCAAAATGCCTTCCTCTTAATTAAAAAAAAAGGTATTCTATAATTTATAACAAGTTATTAAATAAATACTGTCTGGGCACTATCTCAAGACACCAGTTTAAATGCCTTTTACATATATTAACTCATTTAATCTTCACAACCCTCCAATGAGGTAGATACAGGCTGAGTATTCCTTATCTCAAATGTTTGGGACAAGAAGTTTTTCAGATTTGAGATTTCTTTGGACTTTGAAATATTTGCAGAATACATATGAGTTGAACATCCCTAATCCGAAAGTCCAAAATCCAAAATGCTCCAATGAGCATTTCCTTTGAGCATGATACCAGCATTCAAAAAGTTTCAGATTTTGGAGCACTTGAGATTTTCAGATTAAGGATGCTCAACCTGTACTGTTATTGGTCCTATTTTACAGATGAGGAATAGATATAAATTCATTAAATTGTCCAAGGTCACATAGCTAGTAGGGATGAAGCTAAGATTCAAACTTTAACTATCTAACTCCAGGGCCAGCATGTTTCACTACTGTTACATTGCCCTTAAAGAGAAAAAAAAAAAAAAAAAAACCTTCAAGATTAAAAAGAACATGGACTCTACTACACGCATACCACAAATTTTTTCCCTTTGTAATTTGCCTTATTGTCAATTTAGAAAACAATACCAATTCATTTTGCTCAACTATATTTGTCTTAATTCAAATAAATATACCACATGTCACATGGACATCTTCTTATGAAAAATCTGAAGGTTTATTTATTTTTTTTTTTTTTGAGACAGAGTCTCACTCTGTTGCCCGGGCTAGAGTGCCGTGGCGTCATCCTAGCTCACAGCAACCTCAAACTCCTGGGCTCAAGTGATCCTTCTGCCTCAGCCTCCGGAGTAGCTGGGACTACAGGCATGCGCCACCATGCCTGGCTAATTTTTTCTATATATTTTTAGTTGTCCAATTAATTTCTTTCTATTTTTTTAGTAGAAACGGGGTCTTGTTCTTGCTCAGGCTGGTTTCGAACTCCTGAGCGCTAACAATCCGCCCGCCTCAGTCTCCCAGAGTGCTAGGATTATAGGCGTGAGCCACCGCGCCCGGCCTGAAGGTTTATTTTATAAATATGTTTGTGTGTGTATCTGTGTGTACATGTTTAAAACTTTGTGGCCTTCACCAAAAATGTGAAAAATGTAAATGAATAAAATATGCAACAATTATCATCAGTGAAAAAAGTAGTTTAAGTTCACGGTGTTTCTCAACCATTCTATCAACCAAGGGGGGATATTCTGTTAACATAAGGGATGTTATACGGTTTTGTTCTCCCATAAAAATGCTACAGATGTTTATTTTTCTTCCGAATGATGCCTTACTAACATAAAAACAGAAATCTAGCAGGCAATGTCAAAATTCTGATTTTCCTCCCTTACCTTCTCTTTTCTCAATTCTTCTCTTAACATTTCCCTCAGTTTCTGGGCTTTATATATTCGATATCTATCTGAGCATGGCTGTTTCTCTTTTGTTGGAATGGGGTTTGGCTGTGGAGTTTCTTGGTTAACTGCAGATGAGGGATGAGATTCTGTAGGAACACTAACACTAGGTTTAACCACACTAGAAGTACTTGATAGTCGCTTTCTTCTCTGGGAAACAGGAAAGGAAGATTTGCTGGATTCTTCAACATCTTTCTCATCACCAGCCTTTCCAACACTGCTGAAATTTAAAAAGAAAAAAAAGGATACCATGAATCTTTTTTATACATACTAGCTTCAAAATGTAGCCTGGTGAAAAATCCAAAATAGTAAAGTCTGTTTAAAAAAAAAAAAAAAAATCACTTGAGATTTATGCTACTTACGACAGAAATTACAAAAAAAAATTTCGTTTAGTAAATCTTTTTAACATATGTAAATCCTAATAAAGACCATTACTCTTTTTCAAACTTCAAGTCCCTAAGCACATTAGAGCACATAATTAATTATATGCTCAGCTCCCTCAAAACAAAAAAAACTAAGTTACAGAACAAAGCTTAATTAGCCTAATCTGAATTACTAGATAACCAAGAGTTGCTTTTTTAAAATAATTTATATTCAAATTTATGAATTATATATAAAATTTAAAATTCAGTGACGTCTCCTTAAATTGGGCTAAACTACTAGCATTTTACTCTACTTATCCACCTGAGATCAGTCAAATCCAATACACAAAACTTCAAACCTCTGAAATATCTGTATTGTAGTATTTGAAGATATACATTTAGCTACATAAGCCAAACCAAATTCTGTTTGAGGCAGAAATCATTTATCTTTTGTCAGGTATAACTCTACTTATACAGCCATCAGAATAAACTCTTCAGTCAAAAAAAGTACTTAATACAAACTCAAAACCAGACCAAAAAAAAAAAAAAAGTACTCAGTCACCCCAAATTACATAGATATGGTACAGCTTAGACGTAAATATTTCAGAAATGGTATTAAAGCAAATTAAGTCAAGAAAAGAGGTGATATAAGAATTAAAAACTTTTTTTCATATTTTACAATTGATTTTATATAAAAATGGAAAATGCCTTAACCTTTAGAAAAACCTTTCCAGGAAGTCTCCAATTTAAATTATCTCAGCCCTTATAACAATGTGATACATGTATCATTTGCATTTTACCCAATTATGCCAAATGCATAGGAAAGAACATATACCTTACAGATCTTTATAACTAGGAAAGACCAACATACAAAAAAGAAAACACATGATTAAAAAATAAAGTAACAAAGTATACTACCTGAATTATCAATTCTAAGAAAACAACTAGGCTGAGCATGGTGGCTCATCCCTGTAATCCTAGCACTCTGGGAGGCAGGGGTGGGAGCTCAAGAGTTCCAGACCAGTCTGAGCAAGAGGGAGATCCCCACTCTACTAAAACTGGTAAAAATTGGCTGGGTGCGATGGTGCTCGCCTGTAGTCCCAGCTACTTGGAAGGCTGAGGCAGGAAGACACTTGAACCCAGGAGTTTGAGGTTGCTGTGAGCTAGCTAGGCTGGTGCCACGGCACTCTAGCACAGGCAACAGATTGAGACTCTGTCTCAAATTAAAAAAAAAAAAAAAAGAAAACAATTAAATATCCTCCTGCCTCAGCCTCCTGAGTAGCTTGGACTACAGGCGCACAATTTTTCCATTTTTAAGGGAGACGGGGTCCCGCTCTTGCTCAGGCTGGTCTCTAACTCCTGAGCTTAAGCAATCCTCCCATCTCGGCCTCCCGGAGTGCTACCATTACAGGTGTGAGCCACTGCGCTAGGCCCAATTAAATATCCTTGAGCTTAAATGTCTCAAGACTACAATCGCTGGGTAATTTATTACATAATCAATTATCATACACTCATATACAGTTAACAAAATCTGTAAAATTTTTATTAATTTAAGAGCTACTGGCATCGGTATTTCCACTTTGTGTAGAAATTTTGAAACGGATTCATTTAAGAAACTTGGAAATCACTAAGCTTCACACTGAGCTATCAAAATAACACCCTGTAGCCAGCATCAATTCAGCCCAACAGAGGAAAATGTGCCAAAAAGACAGAAATTTTTCACCTTTCTGTCACAGCATAAATAGAATGTACCATTTTACTGTCACTTAGCAAGGTTGTTTACTGGTTTCCTCATATATATAATATAGAAACGGAGACCCTCTTAACCTTACTTGTCTTAAAGGCGTTTCCATCACCTGTTTAAAAAATCAATAACTTTTGGTGGGCAAAAGTCATGTCCTGTGCAAGATAGTTTATATGCATTCTCCACAATCATGCTCCAAGCAGGTAACTTTTTAGAGGCAGGGTCTGGCTTTGTTACCCAGGCTAGAGTGCATTCCAGTCTTGAATTCCCAAAGAAATTATTCCCGTTTTACAGATGAATAAATTCTGCCTGGGAACTCTACCTAAATTGTTAAATTAGGTAAAAGAGCTGTGGCCAAGCACTGTGGCTCAGGCCGGTAACCCCAGCGCTCCGGAAGGCCGGAAGGCCGAGGCAGGAGGATAGGGTTGAAGCCAGGAGTTCAAGACCAGTTTGGGCAAACATAGCGACCTTTCTCTAGGGCCTGTATTCCCAGCTACTCCAGAGGCGGAGGCGGTAGGATCCCTTGAGCCCAGGAGTTCGATGTTACAGTGAGCTATGATCTTGCCACCACACACGAGCCTGGGCGACAGAATGAAATCCTGTGTCTTAAGAAAAAAAAGTAGAAGAGTCCTAAATCCAAACGTGGTACATGACACTAAAGCCGGCCTTCTTCATTCAGGGAAACATGGTCACCATAGTTAAAGAGGCACACCCACAATCAAGTAACCAGAACTCCTTCCGATTGACATAAATCAGCAGAACAAAAGCAACACTGATCTCCTTTTAAAAATAAATATTTTAAAAGACAAAACTACTTTCTCTGTCAAGTACTCTGGAAGAATGAAAACTTTAGAACTCTTATACCTGGATTCTCCCCTCACCACTAGAAGACACGGTCTTCTCTCCGAGTCTACAGACCATGACAAAATTTACATATGCCACACCCTGCGGGTCAGAGACACACTGCAGTTTGGAGACTCAACTGAAAGGCTTACTGCATGCGAGAGAGTATCCTATGGCAAAGTTCATTTGCTCAGCTTCCAGGTGACAGACCGGGGTGGGGGCAGATGAAAATACTCCCCTCTGCAAGCTCTTACCTGCTCCTAGGAGCCTTTTCTTGGGGCTCCGCTCGCCCGAAATCCACCACGGGTACATCTGTAGGCTCTGCTAGCTTCGAAGCAGAGTCAGCCGCAGGCTCCGGAGGCCTGGGAGACTCCTGTCCACGCTGGACACTGGGGGCGGTGGGGGCGGTGGAGCCCCTAGCGCCCGTACCAGGCCTGACGTTCGGCTTCACGCTAAGGCGTGCCCTGCGGAACATGGCGGAGCCAGGGGGCCCGGGGAGGCGGCCCCACGGCCGCTCTCAGCCCCGAGCCCCGGCTGCTGCCCGGAAAGGGGGTTAGGAACTACGCCTTCCCCACAAGCCACACCACCAGCCCGGCCGGCAGCTACCGCAGTTTCACACCCCCGCCGCCTCTTCCTCTTCTCTCCCGCCGCCGCCGCTTTTTCATGACCCTGCCACACTAATAACTAAATTTCTACCTCCTTCCAGCAACCCCGCCCTCAGCGGGCGCCGGAACTGATTTGCGTCATCATCCAGTGCCGCGGAATAACGTCAGACGCACGGCGCCAAGGAGCCGCGGTAACTACCAAGCTACAGAGCCTTCGTTACCTTTGAACCGGAACTTAAGACGCGAAGATTTGTGCTGTTCCTCCTCTAAATGTCTTTAGGAGTAGTTGAAAAGAGGGAAAAGAGGGAAAAGAGGTAGTGAGCTCCTCAGCTCAAACCTTTATGAGAACCATTAAGTTTGCTGGTCGATTTGTTTTTAGAGGGTCCCGAAGAGGAGTTAAACAAGATGAGAGCAGTGCCTCATCTTGCTCACCAGCGTATCCCAGGGCTTAGAAATTCTAAATTGAGTAGAACATATATTAGAATATTCTGAAATGGCCGGGCACAGTTGCTCTACACCTGTAATCCCAGTACTTTGAGAGGTCGAGGCGGGAGGGTTGCTTAAGGCCAGGAGTTTGAGACCAGCCTGGGCAACATAGCAAGACCCCGTCTCTTAAAAAAAAAAAAAATTACGGCGTGAAACTGATAATGGTTACCTCCTAGCAGAGAACTGGGTTTCTGGGAAACACGTCGTGCTAGGAAGACCATTCACTCTATACCCTTGTGTACTTTTTTAAAAAACTTTTTCTCTATACTTGTGTTCTTAGAATCCTGTGTACTTTTAAATGTGAATGCATTACCCATCCAAAAATTATTATAATTGAAACTTTGTAAATTATTGTGAGTATTCTCAATCTACTTCAAGAGGTAGCAATAAACAAGATGTTCTGGGTTTGAGAGGAGAAAACGTAACAAACAAATGAACAAGATAATTTAAGAATGTATTATATGCCATGAAAGAAATTTAAAGGGTGAAAGCCAGGTACAGGATCGTGCCTGTAGTCCCAACTACTCCAGAGGCTGAGGTGGGACGATCACTTGCATCCAGGAGTTTGAGACCAGCCTGGGCAACATAGTGATACCCTCCCACGCCCCCCCCCCAAAACTAAGAAATTTACAGGGTAATAGAATGGAGAGTAACAGGAGGCTAGCAGTAGGGTGGTTAGGGAAGTCGTATATGATGATAGGGAAAATAGCCAGCGATAAGGATAGCCCTGAAGGTGTGGGCCAGTGTTTGAACCAGTGATACAAATCTCCTGACTCGTATCAATGGAGGATTTGGAAGGAACAAAAAATTCCTGGCTGATGGAAACACTAAGGCCTAGCTTCCTTCTTAGAAGGAAAAGAAGATTCTGGGGCAAGCACTGTGGCTTACACCTATAAGCCCAGTACTTTGGGAGGCCATGGCAGGAGGATCTCATGAGGCCAGGAGTTCAAGACAAACTGTGCAAGATAGAGAGACCCTGTCTCTACAAAAAAAATTAAACATTAGCCAGGTGGCCAGGAGCGGTGGCTCACACTTGTAATCCTAGCACTCTGGGAGGCTGAGGCCAGCGTGAGCAAGAACGAGACCCTGTCTCTACTAAAAATAGAAAAAATTAGCCAGGTAACTAAAAATATATAGAGAAAAAAATTAGCCAGACATGGTGGCGCATGCCTGTAGTCCCACCTACTCGGGAGGCTGAGGCAGAAGGATTGCTTGAGCCCAAGAGTTTGAGGTTGCTGTGAGCTAGGCTGACGCCACGGCACTCACTCTAGCCAGGGCAACAGAGGGAGACTCTGTCTCAAAAAAAAAAAAAAAAAAAAAGGGTATAATGCATACCTACCCCTTTTACAGGTAGGAAAAATGTTAACACAATGAAATAATGTGTCCAAGTTGACACAGCTACTAATCCGTAGAGCTGGGCTTTCAACCTAGACAATCTATCTCGAGTCCTCAGTCTTCATCACTTTCTCCCACCTTCTCTAAAGTAGGCAATTTTATAAGGTAATAATTTTTGAAGTTTGGCCATATGTACTTGGGGGTCCACTATAGTATTTTCTCTACTTTTCTACTATATAAATTTGAGATCTTCCAAAATAAAAGCTTTAAAAATATAGGGCAATTTTATAGTGCCCCAACCATCTCACTTTGTAATAATTAATGAAATAGGTGAAGAAAATAAGTACCAGCCAAATGAACCACACGAGCATCTTTACACGTTTCTAGCAATGGCATATGGTCTACAGCTTTTACGTCGGTTCCGAGGTTATTCTAGGCTATTCTGACTTTGTAGTAAGACTGCACTCCTTGTCATCCTCTCCCCACCACACAACCCAACTGCAAAGCCGGTAACTCCTAAAACACTGCTGATTGTGACAAGGGCACTAGGAAAAAATGGGAAACGAGCACGCTTTGGAGTCCGTCTTAAATTTGATTCTCTTAACCAATTTCCGTTAGGTCAGTCTCTTCTGTAAAATCAGAGAACAATGAAGCCTACCTTGCAGTGTATTTGCTAGAATACTGCCTTTCGCAGCGTTAACCCTCAATCTGTTCAGTCCTCTTCCTCCCCTTCCCGCCTCTGCAAGGGCGTGAATGAAAGCTCGCTTTCTTTGTCGAAAAGTAAGATATTGTAGTGTTTATCGTCGTTTGTTATCAAAAGAGGGGGGCTGCTTAAGCCTCTGTGTCTGGCGCACAGTGGAGAAAACCCACACACGCCAACCCCTCTCCCCCACATACAAGACCTGCTTCCGCGAGTCTCCAAAAGGCGCGTGGCAGCGAGGCCTCCACGCCCCGGCCACGCACGCGCAGTGACTGGCCGGCCACGCCGGCGGCTGTTGTCGGGCCTCGGTGGGCGGGGCCGCGGACGGAGCGGGGGCGTTGCCGGGCAGAGGGCCCACGCCGGCTCAGCCTTCGCGAGCCACGAGTGGTGACGGAAGCTGAGCTTGCGAGGGAGCCGTTACTTTCCGAGTTGCTCTCTTCCAGGATCCGTGTGGCGGTCGGAATGGCCCGTGAGTGTGCGGACGAGTGGGGGAAGCGGCGGGGAGCGTCCGGCTAGGGAGTCTAGCGCCGAGCCTAGTACAGAGGCGCGGCTGGAGGGGGAGGCGGGGACTGGTCCGAGAATCCCCCTGGGTCCAGCAGGGCGGGGACCCCGGCTTCCATCAGCAGAGAGAGGTCACGGTTGACTCTGGTATGGCCTCTGAGGCCGGACGGGTGCCTGCCTCTCAGGTGCGCGTTTGCACGGTAAATAACACACCCCCGGAGGTGTGTGAAAACGGCAGCGCCGGGAGGGATCCTCGTTTGGAGGTGGTTTATAGCTGGTACCTACAGTCTTAAGGCCTAATGAGGACCGGGAACTCCTTCCTAGTTCTTTTGTTTGGCCCTTGCAGGTAATAGTGGAATTGTGATGGGCTGAACTTGTGATCTCTGTATATTTCTTCTTTGCTCCACCCACGCCCCTCAAAAGCCAGAACCTGTTTTGGAATACTGGCCCATATAGACGATTGGAATGCCTGTTTTAAAATATCTAGTATTTATAGCTAATAAACACTTAGATTGGTATGATAATACTCTTAAGTCCTTAAGTGTTTACCTCTAAGCTTCCTCCTTGTCAGATCTGTAAACACCATCAATAGACTCTGCTGCCTTGTCTATTAAAAATCTAACTTCATTCCTCTGAGTTTCTCTGAGAAAAGAAAATAAATAAATAAAAATAAAACTTCAGATGCATTTAAATAAGAGTCCTTTAATGAACTTATTAATAATTTTGGAGATGGGAAAAGAGCATGATTGTTTGTCTTTGTAGGTGGAAATCAACGAGAACTTGCCCGCCAAAAAAATATGAAGAAAACCCAGGAAATTAGCAAGGGAAAAAGAAAAGAGGATAGCTTGACTACCTCTCAGAGAAAGCAGAGGTAAATGGTACTAATAGAATTCTCAAGTCACTAACGTGATTGAAGCCACATTTGGGAAAATGAAAAGCATTTTTTTAAACAGTACAACTGGGCCTAACCTGCAGAAAGTGGTAAGAGTAATGAATATCTGTCTTGTGCCAGGCATACTAAAACAATATGGGGTAATCATCATCCCAACCTATGGATGAGGAATTTAAGGTTCTGAAGCTATTTGTTTTGCAGAGACTCTCATGCAGCTCCTCCACAACCATAAGAACTTTATTCAAAATAATTGAACATCCTCCACATACAAGGCACTATTAGGTGCTAGAGATACAACATTTTCAAAGCAGACACCATACCCAAACTAGTCTGGATGGCAGGTGACTGAATTATAGTAATAACAGTTCTGAGGAAGATAGAAGATCCATTGGGTTGGGAAGAATGCACAGCCTTAAGATATAACTATACATGACAATATAAAAGCACTACGGAAACACTTTAATGAGACTGCAGCTTAAGTAAAAAATATGGCATTCACATTTCTAAAAAAAGCTAATCAAAGATAAATTTTATTCTAAAATTATATCTTATTGTCCATATGGAGCTTGGAAGTTTTAATAGGTGAATAACTGATTGCACATGCTTCAGTGTGGCTTAACAGGGGTTCTCAATCCTGGCTGCACATTAGAATTATCTGGAAAACCTTAACAGCTACTCAAGCCTGTGCCCTACACCCAGTTCTTACATTTTTGTTTGCCTTTTGGGTTTTTTTAATTTTTTTAAATTGATATATAATAGTTTTACATATTCAGGGGGGTTCATGTGATGTATTTATATCTGTATATAATGTGCAGTGACCAAATCGGGGTAATTTTGATATCCATTACCTTAAACATTTACCTTTCACCCAGCTCTGATTTAATTGGTCTGGAATTGGGCATTAAAAAGCACCCTAGGTAACTTTATTGTATTTAGGTTGTACCTTAAACCTGACCTAAAAACAGCTTCCCAGGTGAGTCTTATGTGCAGACACTCTTAAGAATCATTGGTTAAGGAGGTTGAAGCCATTAACTATCACTTCACACTTTCAGTAACATTTATTATTAAAGTGATGGCCGGGCACAGTGGCTCATGCCTCTAATCCTAGGACTCTGGGAGGCCGAGGCGGGTGGATCGCTCAAGGTCAGGAGTTCGAGAC